GGGGAGGGGGGGGGAAGGCAGGAGGAAGAATACTTAATTGCATTTTATAGGCATTTTTTTCATTCACTGCAATAAAAACAAGATAACAGAAGGGATTGTTGCAGTTAGGGACCAGGGTACAGCACTTAGGAAGTCTGTAACCATTTTCTGTACATTCTGCTGCACCCACAGACTACCTGCTTTCATGCTGTCAGCTTTAATATAAATGATACAATTCACAGCAAACATTAAGAACACTTTGCCAGTTATGAGCTAAACTCTGTTCACCATCTTCACATAAATCTGTTCTATACCACTTAGCTGAAGCCATCAATAGTACAGGAGGAACAGACTGGGAGGTTGGGGGAAGACCACCCCAGATCTCACCCATTATCAGTAGAAGTCCCAAAAAAATTCTGTTGCAGTTTTTTCCCCCCCCAAGGCCAAGAGCTTGCCAACCCTCTTTATACTGTGTATTGTGTGAGCAGTCCTAGCAGTTTTTAAGGGCACTGACAGCTGAAGAAGCATCCAATTTCCAGTAGAAATTAGGCTAAGGCAACAGTTTTTAATAGGATTAAAATATTCATTAATAAGAGAAGGATGGTACAGCATTTGCAAGATGTTATGCACTTCCTATGTTCAGTAACTGTACTCTAGAGAGCTGCTACTCTTTTTATTTTCCCCCCTTTCAAACTAAGTTACCCTTTATGTTGGCATCTAACAACATTCCTGGGAACCTTTAAAAAGGTCTTAAGAGAAACACTGGCAATTAGACCAAAAATCTAAGAGAGTGCATGTGAGAGTAAACCAGTAACATTACAGAAAATGAGAGGAATCTCAGTCCCATCAGTGGAAAGATTTTATTTTAAAGCATGCAGGTTGTGATAAAACATAGTTACTTCACACTTATCAGTATTACATTTTTGGTTTGGCAACAATTTTAGAAGTGTTTTCCAATTTCCATGAATTAATTAACTTCGGCCATTCAGACCAGATTTGCCCAGTTGTCTCAGACCCAAGTGTAGTTACTATCTGCAAAAATCAAAACTTTTCAGTGGGCTGACACTGACCCATGCTATGATCCGCTCCCAAGATGTGCCAGGAACGTACACATTATCAATAACACAGTGGCTACTAGGTTCCCAGAGAGGATAACTTTTGCTTGGTTTGGAATTGTTTAGATAGTGTTCAAAAACTGCTTTTGTTTGTTAGTTGCTTTAGGTGCTTGGCTTGGCTCCATGACATTTTTTTCTGCCACCACAGGCTCACTGTACAGAACAGACTGTAGGTAACTAATGTATTTTATTGCAGCACGGAGCGTCTCTACTTTGCTGAGCCGTTTCTCCAAGTATTCCTTAGGTAGGTGATGCCTCAGTTTAGCATAGCCTTCATTGACACATTTAACCCTCTGTCTTTCCCTCTCATTCCTCTTTCTGATGAAAGCTGGCCCATAGGAGCACTCACTTCTGCGGTAATTGGAATGGGGTATTTGGTAG